TTTGACAAACGATTAATCGCGATATATTATGTATATATAAATACACACACATGCATGTATATATTTAAGAAAGATATGCTATATTTATATATATATATATAATATAAATTCTATATAAATATGCATAGAAATATTTGTTTAATATATACATATATGTGTGTGTATTCATAAACAAACTTTTATTTTGGATGTGATTAATCACGATTAATCGTTCGACAGCCATAAATAAATATCTTTCCAGTTCCATTAACCACTTTAGAGATGGATTACGCTTTTAAATGAGGTATAAATGAACTAAATCTAAATGCTTCTCTGTGTGCCTGTGAAGCTGAGCCCAGGAACGAGAGCGAGCGAGTGGAGTTCTCCAATCTCGTGCTCCTCTTCTGCTATACATACTCTTTTGGTTTCTGTACCCAATATTTAAAAAATGTACAAATGCAATAAAAATATTGGTATCGGTACTCGGTATCGGCAAGTACCAAAAATAAAAGTATCGTATCGGGCGAGTACTGGAAAAAGTGGTATCGGTGCATCCCTAGTAATAATTTTAATCCCTGTTTCGGAACAAAGCAATCGATCTACAGGTGTGAAAGCTCCCTAAGAGACTTCAGAAACATTGAAAACATCTTACCAACCCCAAATTTTTAAATGGTAGCGTACTAATAATGGACAGTTATTCATTGTAATCAGACACATAAGTGCTGTGATGCTTGGACAGCTGTGCATCAACTTAATTGTAATAACAATGTAAATAATATGTAATGACTATGTAATACTACGGTGTTTTAGCTGGATCTGATGTTTGATGTGTAATGTGCTGGTCACTGTAGATGAGTCCAGATGACGATGCGGTGGTGACCCTGCTGTGTGAGTGGGCTGTTTCCTGTAAAAGATCCGGGCCGCACAGAGCCATGGTGGTGTCCAAACTCCTGGAGAAGAGGCAGACGGAGATCGAGGCAGAGGTGCTGCTGGGAAACATTATTTTTTCTTTATGAATTAGTGTTGGGCGATATGCTCAATTGTCTCATTGTCCTATTGTCAGCCTGTGAGATCGCCGATACACGATATTATCATGCTAATTTATTTCATTATCTACTTGGTTTCATTGCCGGAAAGTGAATCAAACTCCAGCGTAAGGCTAAAAGCAGCCTAATATTTTTTTTTTATATGACTGAATTTGTATTTAAAATGATAACAATTTAATAGAAGCATTGGAAGTTACTAATTATAATGCTTACATTTCCTCAGTTATCCAAAAAGCAGCTACAGAAAATGAGCAAAGAACATTTATACGACCAAAGAATATATATATATATATATTCGGTTTATACCAGCCACGCCCCATCACGTTTCTGAAGCGACCCAGAAGCGGCTCTCCATGCTGCATCGCTAAAGATAGGCACCTAGTCTATTTTTGATGGACAATAAATAAAAATAATAATAATCGTCTTGCTTTCGTGAAAGGCATCAGCAACAGGCGATATCTCTGTCTATCGTCGATACATGATACTACCGTCTATCGGCACAACCGTAATATGAATATGGTTTCATTATATCCAGCTGCACAGTTTTCACAGTGATATGTTCCTGTATGTTTTTAGCGGTGTGGAGAGTCGGAGGTCGTGGATGAGAAGGGCTCTGTGTCCTCGGGGTCTCTGTCTGCTGCCACTCTGCCTGTTTTCCAGGACGTCCTGCTGCAGTTCCTCGACACACAAGCTCCTGTGCTCAGTGAGTTCATATTTTAGCATCCGTAGGGTCTTTCCAGTTCCAATCCCTGGACAAAGCTACATTTTCACAGCTGAAGCTTATGCATTACTTTTAGCTCTAGAACAAATACAAAAGGAACAACATTGTAATTTTTTTTTAAATTTGCACAGATTCTATGTCCTGCCTACAAGCACTTGAGTCTTTTGAAAACTGAACATCCTACAATTATTAGCATACTAGAAAAATTTGTCACTTTAAAGAAATAAGATTTTTTGATTTTTCTGACATTATTTTTTGTTGGATACCCGGCCATATGCGATTGGTTGGCAATGAACAGGCAGATAAAGCGGCTAAGGAAGCTCTTCAGTTGGAAGTAACAAAATGTAATATTCCTGTATGTGATGTAAAACCTATATTGAATCTGTACATTAATAATAAATGGCGAATGGAATTAATGCATATACAACAAACTATATGAAGTGAATCCAGTAGTAAATGAAAGAAGTCATTATTATTTTGAAAATAGATATGACAAGGTTGTATATATAAAATGTCGAATTTGACATTCAAGACTCACTCGTTCATATTTATTGAAAGGGGAAGAGAAACCAGTTTGTGAGTTGTATAGGATTTTTTTTTAGTGTGAAACATTTGAATAGAATGTCCAATTTTAAATGATATTGGACAATGTTTTTACTCAGAAAATATACTAAAAGACATTTTTAAAAAGGTCTCCTGGAAGAATTTTAGAATTTTTTTATCATTGATTAAATTTAAAGATTCTATATGATTTTTATCAGTAATACTGTTGTTACTTGTATGTTTTTGTATAGTGATTGCTTAAGAAATGTTATATTATTGCAAATGATGTATTAAAATGATACTTTCAATGTTGGCGTGAATATAGCCATTGTTGCTGATATGGCATTAAAACTAGGGATGTCAAACGATTAATCGCAATTAATCGCATCCAAAATAAAAGTTTGTGTTTGCACAGTATATGTGTGTGTACCGTGTATATTTATTATGTATGTGTATA